CGCAGGCTCAGCTGCTGCAGCACATTGCCAGCCTCGAGGTATGGGATGGGGGGGCGCGGAGGGGCCACAGCTGGGGCCTGAAGCGAGTTCACCAGGTCTCAGCCCGCAGCAGAGGGGCGGCAGGGCCACGCAGGGGCTCATGGCGCCCCCTGCATCCCCCAGGGCACCTACAGACATGACCCGCTGCGGCTCCTGGGCATTGTGCGCCGGGTGCTGCAGGAGGAGAAGGCAGCTGTGATGAAGCAGGTGAGACCCCCGTGGGCCCCCGCCCTTGCAGGGCCCAGGGCTGTCCCTGGGTCCCGCAGCCTCACACTCCCCCTGTGCCCCCCAGGACCGGCACCTGCCCCTGGGCTTCCACCAGCAGCAGGAGGAGATGAAGTTTGGGCTGGAGCTGCAGCGGCTGCAGCACCGCGTGCACGAGCTCCAGGCACGGCGCCAGGCAGAGCCTGGTGAGCAGGGCTGGTGGGGGGCTGTGCCTCAGTTTCCCCATCCCTCCCTCAGGGAATCCCAGCCCACAGCTTTGTGACACCCTGTGCCTCAGTTTCCCCATCCACTTTAGGAAATCCCAGTCCTCTCACTCCAGGTTGGGGTGGCCTGTGCCTCAGTTTCCCCATCTCCTTTCCACCCCAGCCTCATGTGTGCCCTCTGCCTCAGTTTCCCCAGCCCCATAGTTCCCTCCCCTCCCCAGGCTGGTAATCACAACAACCTCCCCCAGCCTCAAGACACCCCTTGCCTCAGTTTTCCCATTCCCTAGTCTCTCCCTCGGAGACTCCTGACCCTTCACCCACGCCTCGTGGCCCTAGGAGGCTTGCAGGGGGAGTGGGGTAACAAGGGAGTGTTAAGTTCCCCACCAGCCCTGCAGTCCCCGGGGTTCAGGGGTCTCCAAAGGGCAGGTTCATCCTGGTGCTGGGGTGACCAGGCTGCCCCATGCCCCACCAGGCTGTGCCCCCACAGGTCTGCAGGGCTCCCAGCTGAAGATGGAGGTGACAAGTGCAGGCAGCGTAAGTGGCTTGGAGCTGGCGCTGGGGGTCGGAGCTGGAGAAACTGAAGCACGGGGCAACATGCAGCTGGGGATGCTGCAGGGCCAGGCTGGAGGTGTATGTGGGACCCAGGTGTCCGGGCATGGAGCTTGCTCAGGGCACTGGGACTGGGGCTGGCCTGGGGCAGGTAGGGACACCCCCCCCCAGACCTTCTCCCCAATCCTGTGGCGCCAGGAGCTGCCCGTGCTGCTGCTGGAAGCCACGAAGGAGCTGGAAGGGGCCAAGCAGCAGGTGCTGAAGAGGATCCAGATCTGGAAGCGGCACCAGCAGCTGGCGGGAAACGGCGCCACCTTCGACGAGAGCCTGGACCCGCTACAGAAGAGGGGGGGCTGTGGGTCGGGGGCGAGG